ATCTTTAACAAAAAGTGCAACTCTTAACATAACATAAAAGCTCTAGCAAGTGATATAAAGTTCTTAGAAGGGTGATTGTCCACTGGATCTTTTCGAATTGCTCAATCACAGTGTGACCACTGGGTCAGTCGTCCATAGCCTTGCTTTAAACCCGTCTTGGCTCTGAGATTGTCCAGAAATATACTGGCAGGTCAACAGCCTTGAGGGAAAACTGTGTGTGAATTTGTGTCTGTGTGGCCCGTGATGGACTGACATCCCACCCAGGGTGTACCCTGCCTTGCTCCCATTGCTTGCTGGTACAGGCTCCAGCTCCCTCCAAGACCCCGAACTGGAGGAGGCAGCTGGAAAACGGACAGACTGGTGCACTCACCGGAGCATTGCAGGCTGGAGGGAGCGGAGGAGGAGGAGGTGGGGGAGGAGGGAGGCTGCTTTCTGCCCCGGTGGGTGACGGGATGTCCTCAGGAGGGGGCGGTGGCGGGGGTTCTGGAAAAGCAGGGGGCGGGGCCTCGGACGCGGGGGGCGTGGTCTGATATTCTGGGGGTGGGGCTGGCAGGTCAGAGTCATCCAATGGTGGAGGAGGGGGAGGGAATTCTGACAGACAGAGGGAGAAACGGAGCTCAGGTGACAAATGAGGACAGGTTGGTCATTTGATCCAAGACGCTTGTCTGATTGCAAGCGGAATACTGTTCCAAGGATCATACCCAGCTATTTCTTTATGAATCTCTCGGTATCGGCTTCAAAAAGCCGAGTTTGAGACAGGACCTCTGTCGTTAAGTCCAGTGAGAGCTGTACCACTCCTCCAGCCAGTGTGACTGTGCTGGGGGCACAGTGGGGCTCTCAGTGTTGTCAGTGAGAGACACAGCTCCTCCAGTAAGTGTGACTGTGCTGTGTACATTTTGTACACAGCACTACGTTACTAGTGTACATTTTGAAGATATAATCAGTGCTCAACCCTTATTTGCCAGCACAAGGGGGCATCAGATAAATGCAACAAATAGTTTTAGTTAATAATAAAGTGATTTAGGCTCAGTGGGATTACTACAGCTCATATGAATTTACAAACTCCATCTAAATCACATACTGGAAGAAGGTTCTACAGTCAAAACTGTTTTTTTTCTTCATCTTTATACATTTCATCATGCAATTACCTTTAGTTTATCACACCTATAATACTACTTCCTACAAAACATTTCACGATTCCCCCATCACGATCCACATAGAACACAAGAAGGCTATTTACCTTCTGTCACTGCGGGAGGAGGCGGGGGCAGCTCTCCCACCCGGCCAATCACAGCAGTGCTGGCCACCGATGTATGACTGGCCAAAGGCTGTGACTGGGTGGAAGAGAGTTTGGGGCGGGGCGGAGCCACAGAAGCAAACTTCTTTGGTGCATTGTAGAAGGAGGGGGCGGAGACATTAAAAGTGAGGGTGGAGCTAACCATCACTGGCTTGCTGGAGTCGGACATCATGGACACTGCAGAGGACGAGAGAGGCAGAGGTTAACAATGGCGGCCTACACAGAACTAACCCCAGAGCAATCTCCGACTGCAGCATACGTTGTACGAGAACTGCAGAGGAAGTGGGACAGTGGGGCTAATACAGACTGATAAGGAATTGCAGAACAAGAGGGAGAGAGAGTGGCGATAATATAGCTGGTTAATCAGTGACCAAACTCCACAACGTGTCAGTGCTGAGGGAGTGTGAGAGACGGGGATGGATGTCAATATACTAGACTGGACACTGCAATATATTAACACACGCAATCAGGGAGCATATTTACAACTTTGCCAAGGAAAGGAAGACAAAACATCACACAGACGCAGGGAGAGAGAGACATCCAAGGACACAAACCACATATTTGCCAGACAGTCAGTCTGCCAGTGATAAATCTCTAACAAAACAGTTGTTAGCTATCTTACAGCTTATGCGATGCTATACAAGCCAAACAATAACCCTCCTGAAATACTATTTTCCTTTAAAAAACAAACAGACACATTCCA